GTTGTTGTTGTTGAACATTATTACTTCTAAAGAATAATTATTGTTGGGACCCCTGGTGCACGGCCCCCCCGCCGCGCCTAGGCCGCAGCCACATTTTCATCATTTTCGAGCGAAAACCCTTGACAAAACGATGTGATCCAGATCCGGTTGTTTTGTTCCCCCCCGCTTTCCCTTGCAAAAAACAATATAAAATTACATTTCTTGTTCTAACATAACCAAATTTCAGGAATCCATTGCAAAAAATGACACAAAGTGCACATTCGCGCGCGCAAGACGAAATCCTTCCAAAACCTTAGTTTTCGTAGCGATTTTAACATAAACACATCAAAAACCCAATGGTTTTTCAAACAAAAGTTGTGAAAATTCTATCCCGCGCGCTCTTGCGGATTCGTAGGAAACCCAACACTTTTTTAACATTTCTGTCAAAAGGGCTTTTGCGAGCAACTTTTTCGAACTTCTGCAACAACGGTTGCGCACCTGCCAGGGCCATCATCCCTGTCAAATAATACCATGCGGGACACATTCGTTTTTTCTTCGCGCGCGCACGCCGTCGTCGTCGGCCGCGGGGCCCTGAATAGTAGCCACGGTCGTCCGCATGCCACGAAGTGAAGTGTCCGAACGTCATAGGGCGGGAAGCTGGGTGTGGGTGGTGGCGAAGAGTCGTTTGGAAATTTGGTAGAGCTTGAACCGGCCCCCCCACAAAGTGGGGGTATTGCCCGCCTCCTATGAAAACCCTGGCACTGGTGAGAACGGAGTGTCCCCACGTGCTAGTAATTGTTGTTGTTGTTGTTGTTTGTTGTTGTTGTTGTTTGTTGTTGTTGTTGTTGTTGTTGTTGTTGTTGTTGTTGTTGTTGTTGTTGTTGTTGTTGTTGTTGTTGTTGTTGTTGTTGTGTTGTTGTTGTTGTTGTTGTTGTTGTTGTTGTTGTTGTTGTTGTTGTTGTTGTTGTTGTTGTTGTTGTGTTGTTGTTGTTGTCCCACCCGCAACCCGCCCCGCGACCCACCCGCGACCCACCCCGCGACCCACCCCGCGACCCACCCGCGACCCACCCCGCGACCCACCCCGCGACCCACCCCGCGACCCACCCCGCGACCCACCCCGCGACCCACCCCGCGACCCGCCCGCGGCCCACCCCGCGACCCACCCGCGACCCACCCGCGACCCACCCGCGACCCACCCGCGACCCACCCGCGACCTACCCCGCGACCCACCCGCGACCCTCCCGCGACCCAAACCACGTTCAAGGTACAAACCACCATTTTCGGCGCCTGCGGCGGGCTTTTTTTACATTCCTTCCAGGTTGAGAGCCCGCGACCCACCCCGTGACCAACTCGCGACCAACCCGCGACCCAAACCACGTTCAGGGTACAAACCACATTTTTCGGCGCCTGCGGCGGGCATCTTTTGCATTCGTTTCAGGTGGAGAGCCCGCGGCCCACCCGCGACCACGTTCAGGGTACAAACCGCATTTTTCGGAGCCTGCGGCGGGCATCTTTTGTTCTCGCTCCCGGTGGAGAGCCCGCGGCCCACCCGCGACCCAAACCACGTTCAGTGTACAAACCATTTTTTTTGGCGCCTGCGGCGGGCTGCTTTTGCATTCCTTCCAGGTGGAGGTGGAGAGCCCGCGACCCACCCGCGACCTAAACCACGTTCACTGAACAAACCAATGCCGCACAAGCGCGGCAGCGGATTTTTGCATGCCGCCTGAGCCCGCAAGGACCTCTTCAAGCCCCGCGCATCCACACCAGCCCGTCCAGCAACTCTGCCCTGGCGAGTTGCCTTAATCAAAGAAGGCGGGGAGCATAAAGTGGAAAAAAGGATTGCGTTGCAGTTATCTTGGGAAAGGAGGGGGAGGCAGGAGGAGTAAACAGGGGACGAGGAGAACGCGGAAGAAGAGAGGATGTAAGGAGAATGTGGAGAAAGAAAAGGAGGAGGAGCAGGAGGACGAGGAGGGGGAGGAGGGGGATGATGATGATGATGATGATGATGATGATGATGATGATGATGATGATGATGATGATGATGATGATGATGATGGACGACAGTGGGAGGACGATGATGGAGGCCGATGAGGGGGAGGACGATGATGACAGGGGGGAGAGGGATGACGATGAGGACGATGAGGCCGACGAGGGGGGGAGAGGGAGGACGAGGAAGAAGAAGAGGAGGAGGAGGAGGACGAGGTGGAGGAGGAGGATGACGATGACGATGAGGACGAGGACGAGGAAGAGGAGGAGGAGGAGGAGGAAGAGGATGAGGAGGAGGAGGAGGACAGCGCCATGGACAGGGAAGGTGGGGGCCACGAGGTCCGCCGGCTCGACGACGCCCGCGTCGCCCGCGCCCGCCCCCTCACTCTTATCCGCAATTGCGGGGTGCTACGTATTTCCTTACGCTGTATGGAGAAGTCAGGCTTTGACTTGAGACTTCCTTGCAATCTATTCAGGGGTCGCGCTCTCGTTTGAGACTTCCTCGCAATAGATGCCGCTCCTCGACACGGGCGGCGGGTCCCCGAGCTACGACAACAACGGTTTCCGCCTGATGATTCTTCACATTTTATTGCGAAATCAGGCTTTCTCCTGAAATTCCCTCGCAATCTACTCAGGAATCGCGCTCTCGCTTGAAACTCCTTCACAATCTATTCAGACGCCGCCCCTCGACACTCAGGAAGCGCGCTTTCGTTTTGAACGTTCTCCAGATTTTCTTGGGAGCTGCGCTCTCGCTGAAGATTTCCTTGCGATTCGAGCAGGTTTCACGCTTCAGCGACCCGCCCGCTCGACCCGCCCGTAAGGGCCCGCCCGCCCGACCCGCCCGTTAGGGACTGCAGTCGCCTCTCGCTGCCCTTCGCCCGCTCTCGATGCCCATCCCGCTCAATTCTCGCGTCCTCCTCGTCCTCCCAAAAGGGGAAAGGTTATACCCGCGACGCACCCAGGACCTACCCGCGACCCACCCGCAATCCACCCCGCGACCCACCCGCGACCCACTCGCGACCCATCTGCGACCCACCCGCAACCCGCCCGCGACCCACCCGCGACCCACCCGCGACCCACCCGCGACCCACGCGCGACCTACCCGCGACCCATCCGCGACCCACGCGCGACCCACCCGCAACTCATCCGCGACCCACCCCCCGCAATTGTACCCGCAACTGTGCTACAATCTTTGTCTGCGCTGCGGAGAGCGAGGGAGGGCTCGTGCTGCAGTGAGTGTGTTCCCCTGCGGTGGGCCGCCGAGGGTTGCGCGGACCAGCCATTCTCGGAAGCTGGGCGAGGGCTGGCAAATCCATGGCTGCTAAAACGGTTTCCCCGGAAGGCGAAAACAAAGTTTCCCGGAGTAGAGTTCAGCGCACGAAATAAAGTAGACGGGTTGTTTCCCGCAGTTTCTTGAAGTTCTGTTTTAGCAGACACGGGTTTGCCAGCCTTTGTTTGGCGTCTGACATTTTTCCCACAGGACGTGGCTGATGGGGGGAAAGTTTGCGTGGTTTGTTCGCTGCGGCTCCTTCGGGATCCGCGCAACCGCCACGCAGAGGGATCTTCGAAGACGTTGAAGGGCCGGATCGGCCGCAGCACGACGAGGTTCGTGGGGAGGTCGATTCTTCTTACTTGGCAGCCGTCTGGCTGCGTGTCCAACGAGGCGAGATGGCTGCCAGGCAATCCACTCTGCCCTTTCCCCCCCAGCGCTGTTTCTCGCCGCTTTATTGCAGGTTCTGCCCGCGGTAACAGACGGCATCGGAGCCAATAGGAGTCAACAGGAGGAAGAGGAAGACTCGACGAACGTCTGTCCAACGCAAAGAGGAGGAGAAGGAGAAGGAGGAGGAGGAGGAGGAGGAGGAGGAGGAGGAGTGGTCGTGGTCGCCTTCTCCAACGTCGCGATACCCCGAGGGCAACAGGTCTTGAAGGTTGTTATTTGTTTCGGGCCTCCTGGGCATCTCCGCGACCCCGGGGCGGTCAAAACAACGGCTCGGGATGAAAAGTAGGTCAAGGGGAAGAGCCCCAGGATCCATCACCGCGTCCCTCAGGTTCCCGAGCTCGCCTTTGGGGGTCGGCACTGGGGTCGTTTTTCGAGGTAATCGGGCCATCTGTCGCTAAGTGCTGGCCGTACCCGGCGAATTCAGCTGTGGCGGCATGGGCGGCTATTGAAGGGCCTGATAAGATTGGAAAGTTACCCTCACCCCCTCAACATCCGCCACGGATGTATCGCCGTTTTCTGCCTAATGTCCCGCGGACTCCGAGCAGCGTTGCCAGCAGCGAGTCGCAGCCGATCGATGTTTTCGCCACCCCGCCAGCGCACATTTGCACGGCATCACTTCTGCCGATGCGCCGTCGAGGCGCTTGGTTTCCTACCTTACCTCCCTGTTTCCTTCCCCCTCCTGGTTACGATGGTTGGCGGCACGCACAAGGGGGTAGGGGGAGGGGGGAGGGCTTCTTAGAAGAAGGCTGCTTCTAAGAAGGCGCCGGCTTTACATCTATAGGAAAGGCCCGCTCCTTCTAAGAAGCAGGGGTGCTTCTAAGAAGCCCCCCCTCCACCCACCCGCCTCTTCGCGTGTCTGAGATGGGGCATGGTTGGGGAGAGCGGCCCGCGCTAGGTGCGACCGTTCCCTTCTCCACGGCTCCTTCTCCTCTTGGCCCTGCCAGTGCTGCGACAGGCCACCGTCCAGTCACCGCCCGCCTGTGCCGAACTCCTCGCTCTCCTCGCCCCCGTCGCCGCCACCGCCGGGCGGTCGTGGTCGCATTTTGCGGCCGTCGTTGTGTCCGCAAGCGGTAGCGACAGCCGCGGCGGCGGCGGCAATGACGGCGGCAACGACGGCGATGATGATGATGATGATGACGACGACGACGACGACGACGACGACGACGACGACGACCACGACGACGACGACGACGACGACGACGACGACGACGACGACGACGACGACGACGACGACGGCAGCAGCGGCGGCGGCGGCGACGGCGGCAACGGCGGCGGCGGCGACGGCGGCGACGACGGCGGCGGCGGTGACGGCGAGGCGGCCACCAGCCCTGCGCTGGCTGGGCGCCGCCTGCTCGGCGCCCTGCGCCGGCCTCCTGGCCCTGTGGCGCCTGGCGGTCCCGGCGGGCCGGCAGGGCGCGGCGCCCGCCGCGGGCTCGAGGGCGGCCGCCAGCCGCTGCCGCGCCCGACGCCACAGCAGCTGCCACCGCTGCCGGCTAGGCCGCCGCCGCGCTGTCGCCGCGCCGCCGCCGCCGCGCGGAGGCGGCGGCCGCCGGCCGCTACCGCGCCTGCCGCCGCAGCAGCTGCCACCGCTGCCAGCCTGGCGCAGCGCCCGGCGGCTCGAGGGCGGCGGCCGCCGCCGCCGCCGTCGGTGTCGCCGCCGTAGTTTCTGTTCCCGCTTCCTGGGGTTTTTGGCTGCTGTTGTTTGTGGTGCTCCGATGCATGTCGGGGGTCGTGGGAGCACTTGGGAGGCTTTCAGGGCCCACGACAAAGAGGACGGCGTGGTCGTCGCCGCCGCTGTGGCCGCCGCGGCGCCCGCCGCCGCTTCCGCCGCCGCCGTCGCCGCCGCCGCTGTCGTTGCCAGCGCCTGCCGCCCTCGCCGTCGCCGCCGCCGCCGTCGCCGCCGCCGCCCGCCGCCCTCGCCGCCGCCGCCGCCGCCTCGTCGCCGTCGCCGTCGCCGTCGCCGCCGCAGTCGCCGTCGCCTCGTCGCCGCCGTCGCCGTCGTCGTCGTTTTTGCCGCCGTCGGCTGCAGGCGGCCGCGGCGGCAGACCCCCGAGAGCTGCAGCCCATTGGCCGGTCGGCCCTGGACGACATCGTCGAGGAGGGCAGCGACCCCGGCGAGGATTGGCCACGAGCAGATCGGGGCTCAAGAGACGGGGGTCGATGCAAACGGGGGTCAGCCAGGGCACTGGATCCTGCAGGATCCTGCGAAGACCCCCTCTGGCTAACGAGGGTTAGCGAGCCGCTCGTGGCCGCGAGGCGGCCGCGCATAGTGGCTGGCCCGGGTTTGCGAAGACCTGCGTTGCAGTTTTTTCTCCTGCATTGCACTTTGTTGGTATCCTGCTGACCCAGGTCTGGATTGACCCAGAGGATCCCCGAGCAGAAGGGGGCAGGGGAGGGGGGGCAATCTCTTAGAAGCACCCTTGCTTCTGAGAAGGCTATAGGTACAAGGCCGACGCCTTCTAAGAAGCAACCTCCTAAGAAACCGTAAGTCCCCCTCCCCCATTACCACCTTGTATGTGACCCTGGCGAGGAGGTCATCAACCTCGCAGACTTGGAAGGCGACACCGCCTCCGCCGCCGCCGCGTTCAAGCAGTGGCGAAGCGTCCTGGCTGGCCCATATGCCCACCAAAGAATGTTCTAATAACCTCTTGTGGTCTGCACGCAATATTCTTAGAACATTTCTGGCCGAGACTGTATTGTTTTAGCACGTCGGGGTTATGTTTTAAGAACATCCCAGACATGGCGTCTCGATTCTTTCAAGACACGGCCCCCCGACCTCTCGACCACTTCGCCAGGACCAGGTTTTTATCCCGAGTCATTTTTTGACGTTCCTGAGGCCCGGCGAGGGCCCCGAGAGCCCGAAAACGACGAAAACCGTAGTCTCGATTTGTTCGAGACGCCCGAAATTTGGGATTGTCTTGTTCTTGGAACACTGTTGGGTTCTGAGAAGACTTGGTGGTAGGCCCATCGGAATCCTGGGACGGTCGGTCCCTGCGCAACGAGTGGGTCGGGCCGGGCGAAAGGGGGGGATTGGGAAAGGGGGGGTTACGAAATCTGCTGCATGCAGCTGGTTTCGGCCTCACTCAGGGGCCTATTCCTCGATACATGGGCGCCTCCCGGCGCCGGGAGGCGCCGGGAAAATCAGCTACGTGAGCTGATTCTCAAACCCCCCCTTTGCTATCCCCCCCTTTCGCCCGACCCGAGTGGGGTTCCCTGGCCCTCGGCCGCGCCCGTGATCGTTCGCGGCCGGCGATCGGCTGTCCCCCCTCCGGGGCCCGCGGTTGGCGCGGGCCTCCCTGGGGCGGGGGCCCAAGCGTTAAGTCGGGCGTGTCCCTCTTCAGGAGGAATATAGTCAAATTATCCCGGCAAAGCAACCTAACAGCGATGTGTAGAAGCATATCTGAAAGCATTCCCCTTAAGATTCAGATGAAAATCCAGTTGTAGAATTCTGCTGTTCTCGCAGTCGTAGTCGCATTCGCGATGGCAGTCGCAGCGGCAACGGCAGTCGCAGCGGCAACGGCGTGTCCCTCTTCAGGAGGAATATAGTCAAAAAATGGTATGGCAACGATTTTTTGTTTCCCCCCCAAAAAAAATACAATGTTGGAGTATGGTTTGACTATTGTGCTTCTTTCCCCCAAAAAGCCCCCTGTATGGGGACATGCCCGCCTGTAGGGGGACATGCCCGACCCAATGCCAGCCTCCCCCGCTCTGTTCCCCCGAGGTTGCGAGCAGCGGCGTCAGCCCACCATCCGCATTCGAGACGTTTTTGCCGACGTCGATGCCGATCTGGGACATGCCTGCCTCTGGACCTGGTCTCTCGGCCGTCTTTTCTCGCACCTCCTCCGCCAGCTCCCCCTCCTCCTCCCGCTCGCCCTCCCCAGTTTCCTACCCGCCCCTTTGCCCTCCTCCCGAAGTTCGTATTCCTCCTCCACCCGCCAGCCTCTTTCCCAGAGATCCAACGTATTGAAACAAACATGACGAAGGTTGTTCGAAGTGTTTGGCATCTAGGACCTCCTCACTCCTCCTCCTCCTCCTCCTCCTTCTCCTCCTCCTCCTCCTCCTCCTCCTCCTCCTCCTCCTCCTCCTCCTCCTCTTTCCTCCTCCTCCTCCTCCTCCACCTGCTCCGCCTCCTCCTCCTCCTCCTCCTCCTCCTACTCCTTCCCCTTCTCCTCCTCCTCCTCCTCCTCCTCTTCCTTCTCCTTCTCCTCCTTCCTTCTAGGCGTTGTGGTCCGAGGCGCCCCCTTTCGGGACAGCCCGACATTGACCGCGACCCCAGCCCTCTGGGCGACTCTCCCCACCACGGGCGCGCGATCACCCTCGCCCGCGTGGCACAGGGCCCAGCGGCGCCAGCGCGCCGAGGCCAAACGCAGACTGCGCCACCGCAGGGACCTTGAGCTGATCGAGAGCCATCACGGTTCGGCGGTTCCCATGGGCAGTGATGACCGAACGTGGCTTTGCAGATTCTGCGTGCACGCAGCCAGTGGGGAACGTTTCTTCAACAAATCGGCGAGGCAGAGTTGCTGGCAATGCAAGCGGCCCAAGTCGGCGTGCTTCCACAGTTACAAGCCTCCGCCATCACCATCCGTACGAAAGACCTCTGCACCACGAGCTGCCGACAAAGAGGACACACCTTGGGCCATGGCTGCAAAGCTGCGAGAGGCGCAGAAGCAGATCAAGAGGCTCGAGCAGGACATGCAGAAGCAGCGCAAGCAGCAGGAGTTGCAGCCCGAGAAGGTGCAGCAGGTGGTCGATCTCTCAGATGAACAGGGTGACTGTCCTGATATGCTGGTTGATGATGGTAAGAACTTTGATGAAGGACAGGCCCGAGCCAGAATTCACGAGCTGGAGAAGCAGCTGGACATGGCCAAGGGAGTTGGAGAACACTGGGATGTGCTGCGGACGGCCATTCGCACTGAGAAGGATGAGCTCCAGCAGCGTGTGCATGCTCACAAGCCCGCCTCGGCCCAGATGTTTCACATCAACCGCCAGCTGTTCCAGGAGTCGCAGCGAATCTCCAAGGCGAAGCTGGCGATACACAAGCAGGAACAGCACATTCAGGAGCTTCAGAAGCAGTTGCAGAGTGCACAAAAGGATCTGGCGGAAAGGGAGGCGAAGCATGAAGAGCTCCGACTACGGCAACTGGAGTTGGCCCAGGCCGCAGTGCAGCCACCAGACGGAGCGGCTCGAGCGCACCCGCAGGATGCGCCCATCACCGCGCTGGGATTGGACTGCACGGCCCTCGGGCGAATCCTCAAGCAGTTGGGGGCAGGCGAAGCAGCCGAACCCATGGCCGAGGAGATCGCCAAGCAGCTACCGACTTTGGTCACAGGAGCGACCATGGCGGTGTTGGGCTCTACGACTGGAGGGCAAACTCTGCTCCCAGGAGCGCTACATGGTGGACCTGGTGCAGGTGGTGTGCATGTTCCTGTACCTGAGGAACCAGCTCCTGCCACGACGTCTATCCGTGAAGCAGATGCTGCGGTGCTACGTGAACATCTCAACGCAGTGGGCGTTCCGATCAGTGACACGGCGACTGATGATGAAGTGCGGCAGGCGGCCAACAAGTTGTTCACATGGAGTTCGGCGCCGATGCGTCAAGTATTTACACCGTTTTGAGTCAATGGCTGTCGTTGGGATGGTTTGTCTATACCTGCAGATGGCGATGGCTTCAACGACTCCAGGGAGCAGGTGTACAGAAGGTGCTCCCGACAGGTTGCAGGTTCCAGGACTGGCGAGTGTGGCGCTTGACGCTAACCCAGTCTTGAAGCCTGTGAGTGGCAATGTGCAAGGTGCTGACGTTATGGCGGGCTCGCCACATGTACTACGAGGTGCTGGTTCGATGAATGGCGCCGACGCTTCGGCGTGCTCGCCACAAGGACAGCATCGAGATGAACGTTTTCACTCGCATGAGCTGGTGTCTCGACATGGGATGCGTTGCAGCATGCTAAGATTCCCTCAACCCCACCTTCTTCTGGATTCACCTCAAAGAAATACGGCGGTCAAGAACGCGACGATGGTGGAGATCTGACTGTAAAAGGTGCGGTCACCACTATCAACGTTGACAACACGGGACCCCTGCTCAGGTACATGGAGCAGTGCAAGTCAGCGGTGGTTCTCGTGCAGGAGCATAAGGCGGACGATGCTGCACTCCCTGGGCTCGAGAGAAGATTGCGACAGTATGGATATCATGGCATCTTCGCGCCCGCTGTTCGAACGGAGTTGGATGGCATATCATCGGGAGTGGCAGTGCTCGCGCCTACGTACGTGACGGTCACGCGCCCCCCAGGACTGGATGAGCCGATTCTTTATGATGGTAAGATGGTTGCAGCGAAAGTATCTTGGGGAATTGCAGATGGAATGGTTGCAGTATCAGTTTATTTCAAAGACTCGGTGGGACTAGATGAGCAAAATCAAGACATGCTGTATAGGCTTGTTTGTTATCTGGGGCGCCTCAACGACATGGCACAGGGTTGGGTGGTTGGAGGAGATTGGAATATGGTCTCCACGACTTTTGATGGGCAGGCATGGCTGGAGCAGTTGAAGGCCATGTTTTTGGTACCCACACATATCACCTGCTGTACGACGAACGCTTCGGAGGGTAGCACGTATGATTACTTCATCATTTCAGAAAAGCTGGCTACAAAAGTTTCGCCTCCAGAAGTTGATGTTGCGGGTGGATTGCCAACGCATTTTCCAGTATCGCTTCCAATTATGAATGGGCACAGAACAGTATGGTTGCGTATACCTCAGGAACCCCGACAGCTGCCCAAGGGCCCACATGTAGGATGCTCGCGACCACCTTTGAAGTGGGATGATACAATGAGGTTGGTGCAATCAGTTAGTGTTGAACCCGAGCTTCGACATGCATGGGACCTGGTAGTTTCTGGAATTGAGGCAGAGATATTGGCCCGTCGTGACTTAGTTGGTGACGTGGGCAAACCATATGCTGGACGAGCTGGACCTATTGTTGCCAGATTCGTGGAAGCCAAATGGGACGTCCAGCACACTAGGCAGCAATATGGACCACAAGCCCGTGCATGGATCACCGCTTCGAGATGGGCCAAACATATATTGCGCGTCAGAGCATTCTGGGTCAAGATGATAGCGGCTTACAGAAAGGAACATGAGCTGGTGCGCTCTGGTCTCAGACTGCCGGATTACACCTCACCATGGACTTCTGTGCATATGAGTACAACAGTGGAGGAAGGTTGGAGTTTGGTTTGCAGACGACGGCGTACTAAATGTAAAGAAAAAGCTGAAGGTGAGCAGGATGGCACGATTGCACGGCTTGTTCTGTCTATCAAGCAGTTTCACGGCTTCGTACATCGAGTGCAACAACAGCAAGAGCTCCTGCAACTTTTGGAGCCTGAAGCACGTGAAATTTTCATGGCTGGTGTGGCTGTTCTCTCGGATTCACAGTTTGAGAAGAGGGCCTTCAGTATAATCGAACGAGCTGATGATTTTATACAGCAGGTCCAGCGCAAGAGTGAACAAGATTGGAAGTGTTGGATTGGTAAGGACTTTTTAAATGGCGCTGGACAGGCGCACAAGGCCTCCAAGACCAAGGCGCTGGCT